AGAACGTTGGTTCCTCTCTTAAAGTGGTTGCTAAGGGTGGGTGTTTTTGTCAGTTAAACACAACATGAACGATGATATTTTTTAAAGTAATTGTGTAATAGCGCTGTGATGCATCTAATGTCCGAAGAGAAATAATAATATTCCATGACTTCTGATCGTCCAGCCGATTTAATTTCTTATGAGGAATATTAACAGAGACTGAATGATAGCAAAGATTGCAAGAATACAAAATTGTGTTGTCATGGATCATGTGTCCATTCTGTAATTGCTTAAATTAAAATTAACTATTTTCTAATTATAATTCCAGGAGATTGTGAGTTACATGGCAAAGTTATGACCTACCAGAATGTTTTTCATGTGCTTCTTGCTCTTGAGGAGATACTGAGGGGAACTTTTGTGAAGCAGGAGACTTATTCTGAGACAGGTGTTACTTAATTCTCAGTGATGATCAAACTGGAAATATTTATTTTTTCCGTAATGGTAAACTTGCTTATTTTTGTATTTTATTTTTTTTCTCTCCACAGTTTCCTCTATCTATCACAATCTTAATAGTTCACTTAGGCATGTCTCGAAGGCCTTCCCAGTCTTTGCCCACTTCGTCTGGAGATTGCTATTGTTGTTGTCAAGACATCCCTCTTTTTCAGAGCAAGAGGAACAAAAGTTGCTTTGAGACTTAAGGAAAAACTGATGGCTATTTCTACTTAATTAAAAGTAAAATCTCGGTGGCGTGGTTCCTTTACCTCTGTTTTCATTCAACTATGAATAAACGTTCATTTAAGGCGAAGTTTGTTGTTTGTATTTTCTCTTTAAATGAGAGTATGCCGTTGCCCAAATCCCTAAACTTCTAAAAGGCTTCACAAGTCAGTAACGCCATCAGTAGCCTTTTAATTACCTATTTCCCTTTAAATTCCACATACGCTCTAAGAATCTTTTTGTTTGCACTGTTCAAATAACAAACCACACTCTGATTAGTCTGGGCGGAATACTTTGACGGAAAAGGCTTTTGGGCCAGGTCTTTATGAAACATTAGCGAAACGTTAGTGATTTGTTCAAAGAAGTGTAGGTAAATAGGTCAATATCAGGCAGGGTACTACGAAGTTAAACTGCGTCCTGATTCTCTTTGGTTTCTGAGTCATATCTTTCAAACTATACAACATTCTCAAATCTCCTTAGCTGTAGAGTTGTAGTTTCTAAGTGTCTTGTTCCCATGCAAATGAATAAATTTAATTCTATAGCGTTGCCACTCGTTCTCCTGGTATATCAGTTGCTGTTGACTCTTGCAAGAGTCTGGAGCTTTAATGACATCCAACATTTGCAGTTAGATGATATGGAAGTCAAGAGCCACTTCCCCTTATAGATGGAGATAAGCGCGCTAATTGCATGGTATAAGCCCTCAGAAACCACCACTTTTTGCCTTGGTTTGTTGTGTTTTAATTGCTCATGAATTAATAAAAACTTCAGGCTATAGTAAGACCTTGTGTGGATATGAAAATAGACTTCATCCAGAGGCAAAGCCAATTTCGATTCTCATCCTTGACTGCAGAGAAAAAATCAAAATTGCGTTTTAAAATCTTCTTATTCTATAGTTGTTTGAAGAAATATTCTTCATGTCTGAATTTTTCCACACTCGTGTTTAACATCTTTTCTTCAATTCCAAGCCGGCGAGCGTTCTCTGAGGCGTCTATAGCTAAACTTGGCATTTCACCTTTCTAAATCTCTACATACCATTGAACCTTGTCATTTGCTTCCAAAAATTCTACTTCCAGTTTGTCCGCACCTCAATGTTTCCTTGTGCTTATTGTCTTTTTCTATAAGGGCGTAAGTATTACGATTTTTACTTTTCGATGTACATCTTTTTCGTTGCTTGTGAGATCACAAGGAAACAGTTTGGATTCAGGAAGGGGCTCTCTACTGAATCTGCTTTGACATCATTTGCTGATGAAGTCTTATTGAACATGGAACAAGGTAAACTGTGTGGGGCCGTGTTTTTGGATTTAACCAAGGCTTTCGACACCGTGGACCATCGGATTTTGTTACGCAAGCTTTCCAAAATTGGTTTATGTGAGAACTCGCTTCAGTGGTTCCGCTCTTACATTACTGACAGGAAACAGCGTACATGTTGTGGGAATGAGTTGTCTGATGAATTGCCAGTTACCCATGGGGTCCCTCAGGGAAGTATTCTGGGTCCTCTGCTATTTGTCATCTACATTAACGATTTGCTAAGCGTTCTAGATGCCTGTCAAGCATCACTTTATGCAGATGACACGGTGATCTACTGCTATGGGTCTTCCTCTCAGGAGCTGACTAAAAAGCTCAACCAAGACCTCCTGGCTGTGGCGAAATGGCTGAATGAACATAAGTTAACACTGAATCTGGACAAAACCAAATGCATGCTTATAGGCAGTAACAAGAAGTTACAGAGGAAAATAGCTCTAACTGTTTCAATCTTTGATCATTGTATAAACAATGTTACTTGTTTTAAATATCTTGGAATCTTAATATCGTCTGATTTTTCGTGGACAAATCATGTCGAATACATGGGGGAAAGTTAATCAAAGGCTTGGCCTACTTAGACGCATTAAGCATTTGTTACCGTTTAAGGCGCGCATCCTTTTTTATAAAAGCCTTGTTATGCCCTTATTCGAGTATGCTGATTTAGTTTGGGGAGACAAACATAATGTAACTTTAATGTCTAGTTTGCAAGTGCTTCAAAATAAGGCGGCTAAAATAATATTAGATCGACCACTGTATTCCTCTGCGTCTGATGCGTTAACTACACTGAAGTGGTTAACACTAGAAAAAAGGCGCGTCCAGCGCCGATGCGTACATGTATATAAATGTCTTAATGGTCTCACGCATCACGAATTAACATTAGTCACTCAGCAAGAACAGCATAGTTACAACACAAGAAATAAAGCAAACCTCAAAATTCCATCCGTTAAAAGAAACTGGGGTAAACAAAGAACTGGCTATCATGCTGTAAGTGATTTTAACTCGCTGGACAAAACTATACGAGCCTCTGATAATGTAAATATTTTGAAGCGTCAGATTTTTAATTCATTGATTTAAGTTTTATATTACACATAAGATACATTAGTTTTTAGTAGCATCTTTTAGCATTTTTATTCATTGTAAATTTTTAATTTTTAATTTTCGAGGTCCTTTTTGTAAACCACTTTTTAGTGAAAAAGTTTCCTCATTAAAGATTGTCATTATTAGGTGTCGAGAGGGGTGGTACATAGGCATAGCCAGACGGCCGAATGGGTATTGCTGATTGCTGGGATTGTGATGGAGACTCGGAAAGCTTAGAGTAATTCCTAATCAACTTCTCTGGGGATTCATTCTACTTTTGGGTGAATATTTCACCATCTACTGAGCTTGTAACTCGCAGTGGCTCCCGAGATACAGTTGGGACGTTGGGTTTTGTTATACATTTATATTGGCTGCGGCCGCATCAGGAGATTTGATTTTTTTTTTGTCCTTTCAGAAACTTGCTTAAAATTCTCAAATAACTTAACTCGGTTAAAGGGATTGGTTGTGATGAAACGACGGGGATTTTTTTTATGAGCGGCTGAACTAAAATGGGTTATGAAGTGGGCAAAGTCAATTGACATAAATAAGGTAAACCAACAAAATGGTAGACTTTAAAGATAAAGTTCTTGTTTTTTCGCTTCTCTTTCTTTATTGTTGTTTCCTTTTTTTACACTCGTTGCTGAAACGGTCCTTTCCCTATGGCGTACTACACAAATTCCCACGGGAGTTCTTTCGAACATGATGTTAATTTTGCGCAGTTTGGATTTATCCGAGAAATGAGCGTTGGTTTGAGGAAATCTTCAGGACACCTGCCATGCATGGCTTTTTTAGAGTGTACTTCCGAATGAACTTCCAGTTCTTCCAAACGCTTTGCCGTATTCTCTCACCATTTATGACAGAAAGAAACACTCTCTACCGAGCAGCAATACCAATGAAGAAGCCCGTCGCAATGGGATTGTGGTGTCTGGGAACTGGAATCGTCACGTTTGGTCTCGGAAATTGCATACGACTTAACATTGTTCAGAAATTCGCTCATGCTCTGCTTCACGTTAGAGAAGATTACATCTCTTTTCCATCCAGCGGAAGGGCATTAGGAAACGTAATTAACAAACTTGAATTAAAATATGGTCTACTTGAAGCAGCAGATGTTATTGATGCAACTCACATGAAAATTAAGAAGATCATGAAGCATTGTGTGATAGAGAGAGGTCAGAGCTGAATAAGGAACCCGTGGAGACATGTTTATCTCTTTCGTTTAGTTTGGGGTGTTGCTAGGGTGTGGTATTTTCTTTACACGTGTGGTGAACAAAACAAACCTTTCTTTTAAATGTTTTATATTTGAAAAAAATATATAAACAAATTGATTTTAAGACTCGAGTTGAGTTCCAGGACACCAAAATATTTACGGATACTCCAGAGTTTTTGAAGGCAATTAAAACACAGTTGTAAACCTATGGGATAGTATGATTAACCTAGATCAGTTTAGATTCTACAATCGTGTTTCCGCTGGTACTCTTGTTGCTGCTTTCAAATGCGTGATGATATCTATCTTGGGTTGGTCTTTCAGATGGGCTGACTGTGACTCTCCTTTGTCATTTTTTTTTCCGTTTATCCATGAATGTGATATCTAAACAATGGAGCCATAATTTTATATTGGGAAAAGCATAACTGATGGTCCTTAACGCTTATTAATGCACAGAAATATGTTTAAAGCCACTTCGGAGCTTAGATTGGCGAAAAATAACTGTAAACACAGAATACATTATTAACAATAGTTTTAACTGTTCTCAATAATGATAATAAACGGACTTAGTTGTTCAGTTTCCTTGAAAAACTCTAATGGAAATAGCCACTTAGGGATGCTTTACGTTAAGAGGCATTCTTAACTGTAGAATCTTCTCGATCCTAGAATCCCCAATTAGCTTGCCTCAAGTGTCTCCTTTTCTATGCTGTACTAATTACACATAATTTATTTTCACTGACATTATCTTTTGCTCATGAACATTTAATTCCTATCAATTAACGGGGGAAATTGGAGAGCAGGACTATCTATTTTTAAAAAAAATGTAGCAAAGCGCCAGGAAATCAGGATTGCTTTAAGTCTTGAAGTTAAGACTGATGGCTAATTTTTCTCAGTTGCTCAGGATAAAAATCCAATAAAAGCACGTTGATGAAATTGAGACAGTTCAAACTGATGGAAGTATTCTTTCTGAAATGATATACGGGAATTAAGAAAATTGCAATCAACTTTCTTTTTATTCCAGTCTCGAACGGGTTGGCGATACAAATTGTCGAAAAATACAAGGGTTGTTTACACTTTAAAATTATTCAAGTTTCACTGTTATTATTCTAGCTCGAGGCTGGAATTAAGGGAAACACGAACTCTTTCATCTAACCACCACGAAATTTTACGATAACCAGACAAGTAAATTGGTCACCTATGGTTCGTGTTACTGTTAGCATTATTTCTCTCAAACATTGATTCGCTTACAAGTTGTTAAACTGCACATTTCTTGGGGTTATTAATTTATACCGGTGGCGTTTTGAACGCTTTTAGCCTGAACAACATTTTAATTGATTCATAGCCGTCCTCTTAAAGAAATTAACGTTTATGTGCATGAATTAGTGTCCTTTTGTGTAAAGAATTGATTTTTTTATCATTCTTACAGACTATTTTTAACCTTTAGAACCTTTGTTACCTGTTTAGATTAGAACTCTGTTGTTGTGAGTCATTAGGCTAGATGTTTGTGCCGCTCTGTTTTGGCCGAAGCGTACCAACAACACTGATATGTTGTTTAAAGCCTTTCTCAGGAAGACGTCGCTGATGACTTTTTTTAGTAAATACGCAATTTATTACGTCTAGGAACCTTTCATAGATTATTAGCTTTGATACAAGAACGCAGCTGTTTTGTATGTGCAAGTGTCTCTTGTTAGAAATGCTGTTGGGTCAGCATAAAAACATAAACGGAAATTTTTCGGAAATGTTTCTCTACTTTAGACCAAAATCGATCTTTGTTTTTCTTTTTTTTTTCTATTAGCAAACACAACTTACAACTGAAGCGTCTAGTTTAATTTGCAGTTTTATTGAAGTTAGGTTTAATTAAAAATACGGGAGAGTTTAATTCTGGCAGGTTTCTTTGCTTTGGCAACTTGGAACACTGAATGGTATCACGGCAGGTCTTCTAGACGACGATATTTTAATGGTATCTGTGGGAAAATTGATGGGTGTCTTTCAAGTCTACCCATACGGTTTTTTTTTTCTTAATGATGGCTATTTTCTGTGGTAAAATTTGATATTGCAATTGATAAAAAGTGTATGAATGTTTCATTATTTTACATCACTGTCAGGGAAAAGTTGACATGAGTGACAGCGTGACGTTTCACAGTGCGGCTATTATAAGTGATTTGAACGAAGGTTTCTTAACAATCATGTTTGCTTCTTGGACTAGTCTCGAGCGTTCGGTTTTCCTGACGCTTCTGTTGTTTCTTAAAGTTACTTCCTCAACTCATGGACGGACTGAAATATTAATAGGTACGTATATATATGACAAGGCAGCGTGCAACAATAACAGAATCGCTCTTTCTTTGGATATAGTGGGGAAAAAATAACGAATTTTTGGCGCAGATGCGACGAAGGGAAGTTAACGTTGATGATATTTTCTGAAATATGAAAGAGATAACATTTTTTTCATCAATTAAGACAGACCACGATGTTGATTAAAGACGTGGGAAAAATGTATTTCGTGATAATTTTTAGGCCTTATCTAGTACTGAGCACGAAGTAGTCAGGTAACAGATATTTTAAATTTTAGGGATTACCAAATTTGCTTTCATCGTTACTAAAAAACTGAATATTCAAGGTCTTTGGAAACATTTTGCGGTGAGCTTGTGCTCATAAATAATAAAGAAAGATGCAAGAAGCCAAAGTTCTTATCTCTGGAACAAATTATTTCGGCTAAATTCGAATATCGATCGAATGTCTAAAGCGAAGCTTAAAACTTGCGACACTTGATGAGGTAATTTATCAAACGAGCTAGTTTTAATGCCGACACATTTTGCAGAATTGAAAGACCAACAGAACCTCTAGAACTTAAGGGGTTCTTCCCTTCAATAAAGAGTTTAAGAATCTGTGTCATCATTTGCATTTAAAATAAGTCCTTTAGGTAAAGAATAACACAGTCTAAAGAGTGCCGTTACATGATAGTGTCCATTTACAAGAAGGAAACTTCAATTACTGGGAGCTCTGTTATTTCAAAATGGCGGTTCAATTCCTTTGTTCATGTAGAACTAAAGAATTATATAAGCGCTGTTTTGGCAGCTGCACAATCAATAGAATACGAAAGTTGTCATTTATGAATATCGGCATGTTGTGCTTTTTCCCTCATCGTTTACAATCTTAATTGAAAAAGTGAAGTGCAATTGCCAATTTATATCACGCAAAGAGAGTCTCTTCATCGAATCGACCAATGTATTTTATTCTTAAAATGTCCGTGATTGATGATTAAGTATGGTGAAACCACAGCGAGTATAAAAATAACTAATAAAATTGTGTTACTATGAAGGAAGCAGTTAACCTCCTCTCGCTCTTTCTGGTGGTTTTCAGATGTGACAGCCAAAATATTTATTACAGTCTTGTGGTAAGGTTATGGCACAGACCTAATATGTTAATATGATAGGGAATTGTGCCCAAAAATAGTAAAGGGCTTCTGATAAGTTGCCACCCACAAAATTTCATTGGTTACAACAATGCAACACATCATCATTCATCATTGCAAATTAAAAAGGAGAGAAAGCTGCGGAATAAAGTTCACCCTTCAAAGCCCATTTTCAAAAGAGAACCGAAAAAGGATTGAATTTATCTTGTGGACAAAAGTTATGTTTGGAGCACGTCGGTTTTGATGGCCTTTCATTAATCGTACCCACTTTCCCCCTTCCTTCACACGGAAAATGTGTGTTTCCTCGTATTTTTTCGACGTCAAATCACCTTCGAATTTTAGAGGCATAACACGCATTCCTTGTGGAGCACATTTTCACGCACGAGCAAGTAAAACGAGTGCTGAGGACGCAGATTGACCCAACGCAATTTTAATGTTTATGGTGCACAGAGATGCTCTATTTAACGTTTTCCTGGTTTATTATGATAAAAATGGCAAAAAACTTGAAACTTTAGGAGAGCTTTCTGAATTGGTCATTAAGTGACATTGGAGAGAAAAGTTTAAATATTCAGATTTTATGTGAAGATTCTCCCCATTAGAAGTGAAAATTCTGACTCCAAGTTATCGGTGATCACCTGCTTTGTGTTTGAGAAGAATTTCAATCAATGCAAACATAGTTTTTAAATCCTTCTTTGAAAATCCGCTTAAACTAAGTTTAGCAGCGCAGAGTCAAATATTTATTTTTGAAAATGGAAGCTTGCGTAATCGAGAGATTCAACCAGAGTCAGTGGATCCTCACTATCAAGGTGGCTTTTTCCAAATCATGCTTCAGTTTGTCCTATTCAGAATCGAACAGGACCACCAACACTTCCATGGTATCCCTTTTACTATTTTACTGATAACAGACGACGGCGGCGGCGTAAAATCCAACAATCTCTTTATTTTCAAGCCACTTCATCACTTTTTCACCATACCTTTGATCACTGAAAGAAAACACAGACTATTGCTGGCGACAATCATTCTTGCTCTGTTTTTGAACGATTGTATTTCCACCAGCCAGCTGGTAACTCGACGATAGAACTTCAGTGCGTTTCTTTGCCTGTGTTTATTCTTTCTTCACAAGCACGCAATAGCCGAGTTTATCTTCGCTCGAATTATTGTAGATAACACATTTCACTGTTTGAAATGTGTTTTGTATACGGTGCATAGGCATGGGCTTTTGCGGCACGTTCTTTCGTTCGCTGTCCACTGCATAGAGAAATAAATACGTAAGTCTGACTACCATTGAAATAATTAATTTAGCCCTATGATGTATTGCGTCGTGCGCCTAAGTGTTTTTGTGGTAGCTATGTGGTTTTTTATTGCGGATAAACCACCAAGAATTGTAGATTGACAGTTTTAGGAAAATTCATTGTAAAATTAAAACGGCTGTGATGAATTTACGTGAAGTCCATCGTAAAGCTGGAATAATACTTGAGACAATTTTTGATCCTTGTAGCAATTTAACACACAATTATATGCAGTTCCGCTGAAGTTAGAAAAGCGAAAGCGATTTCGGTACTGCGGTAAGTAGTTATCAGTAAGTAGTGTTATGTGTTATACATTGAATTCATTTATTAATTCATTTGTGATATTTATTCGTCGAAATAAAAAGTGTCTACGTAAATTTATCCTTGATGGTTACTCCTATTTAGACAGACTCTTGGTAAGATATCCTTACAGCCTCATACTACTGTAAAACAAAGCTATAGATTTAAAGGCAACTGTGGTTTTCACCATTGTTTACTTTATCCAAGAATTGTAGTCATAATAAATAATCGGGCTGTGCAGAAATCTTACTCGGCTCTTTAGATGAGCCTTTTTAATATTGAAATTTAGGTGATACTTATTAGGGTAATTTTACCTTGACGCGCCAGAGCGACAACGATAGTTATAAATATATTCATTGGTCTCAACTGCCGTGTTTAAAATCATCTGAGGTTACGAAATAACCGTCATTTAGCTGAAATTCTCTCTTACTTGTCTCTTTTGAACATGGCTCTATTACAGTAGTTACATTTTGGCTCTGCTACGTGTTACGTTCGTTGCGTGAACTACGTGCTACGTACGTTGCGTGAACTACGTGCCCGTTCAGCTTCATTCGAACTCTTCTTATGTCTTTCTTTAAAAGTAGCATTCTGATAACGTTCCAGAGGGGCTTTTTGGAAAACAGCCAAAAAGGAAACTGCATAACGGCTGTAAAAAGTAGACCTGCTTTCGTGATTTTTCAGGAGCAGTCTTCTCTAAAGAGACTGGCGCGAACGGAACTGAAGAAGAAGCTCTTAAACTTGCCATTGAGTATATAAATGATGACAATGAAACGTACGCGGGTATTGAATTGAAAGCCTTGGTTAAATATTCGGATCCGATGGACGATTTTCAAAATATCGAGCAAGGTGAGAAATCTAGTATTTATGAAAACAAGAGGACGTACTGCGGAGTAGAGGGTACGCTACAAGCAGTTCCTGCTTTTCGGCAAAGTCCGTCGCGTTAAAAAAAACCAGAACTCAAAGAGGGAGGCACACTCTCAGAGTTCCGCGCTACGCGCTAACATCAATTTTTTTCTCTAATTTTGTTTACCCGCGCGACGGATTTCGCCGACAATAAGGGACTGCTCATAATTTAAAAAGAGGAAGGTTTCTCTTCCACCCTTCTCTCATCTTTCCCCTATGTGATCTTGCTGTTCGTTACTTTTGTGGGCAAGCTACAAAGAGTTTGAATATTACATTTATTTTAATTTTTGTGAAGATAAGGCTGAAATAAAAAATGGTCAAGCTGGAATGCGATGTTGATTACTAATGCCTTGTGATACCAGCAGCGCTCTTGCCATCTGACCGAACAATATATTTACCCGATTTCGAGTAGCCCCAGAGCTAAATTTCTAAGAGCAGTGTACGGCTGCCGTCTTATTGTTTCAAGTCTTATCTTCACTCCTACCTGTGTTGCATTTCTCAGAGTGATAATCTTTCTCTGAAGTTCAAATTTATGATTTTCCCTCATTTTATTGAATTTATCACTCTCGTGAATAGTATTTTGTTGAATAATATCACTCTGGTTAATAGATTGATGCACAATTCTCAGTTGCCCAAATTCTATGTTTTTGTATCTAATTGATTTAGTTCCTATGGGTTGCCTACTCCACTTGAAAAAAGCTATGATAAACCACTCAGAGAGTTAAGAATGATAATTCGTTAACTAACTGTTAACAACTATAGCAAGGTTTACTGTAAAGCATCCATCCATAATTCTGTTGCATGACTTCTTTTCTCTTCTGACATCAACGCAGCTTTTTTTAGTGATTCTGAACTCATGCTCTCGTTTCCAGTCAACAGTTTGCTGAGCAGTAACATATCAATTCTTATTGGTCCAATGGAAACGTCTGCCGTAATTGCCACCCACCCTCTGTGTAGCAGAGCAAGTGTCCCTCAGATAGCTCCGCTGACCAGTCTAGAAATCATTTCCGAAGGTGATAGTGGTTTGAACTACTTATTGCGCATGAGCCCCACAGAGAAGCTGAAAGCCAAAGCGATAGCAGAGATAATTAAGAGGTACAAATGGGAAACGATGGCTGTGCTAGGATATCAAAACAAAGAAGGTGAAGTTAGCAACAAATTTTATGTTCAGATACAATTTTGTACCAATCTTTCGGTCATTAAATGTGGCTTACAAAGAAGTAATACTCTTCGAATTGAGCCGTGAGACAATCTACCTTGTGCTGCTAATCGAGTATTTTTGCAAAGCGAATGTGTGAATTTGTTGAGTTCTTGAAAACATAGCTCCGTGCTCGGATAAATATCAATGTAAAAGACAGAAATATCAAAAAAGTGTGTTGAGATCAGAGCTTTACTCAAACAAGTCACATAGTTTTCGATCTAGGTGAAATAAGTTCCAATTTATTGAAACCATGCTTTCTCGGAACCGCAAGGAGAGAATCAGCCTATTAATCTTTTTTGTAGAGAGCTAGCTGGACTTGATCCGTACTTTTAAGACATTAGGCCGATATTCTCTTAGAAGAGTCCTTAGACTTGGTTGATAGGATATATGCATATATACATGTAACAGCTCGTATTCGATGGTGCGTGCTCACGTACCATCGAATACGAGGACAAGCGGAGCCTGTATCAATCCCGCCCTCCCGAAAGAGTGTGAAGAGATAGTCCTTCAATGAGAGAAAAAAAATTTTTGCAGCTCCTGAAGGTCACTCCAGCTTTCGTTTGATCGCCAATGGAAACGAATGGAATATGGTTAAGGAAACTCTTATCTCACCTGATAAAGATGGTAGACAAGGAGATCTGGGTTCGGCATTAATGGATATTCGATATTTGAAAGATTCTCAAAGCACTCGGCTTGCGGTCATGTTCTTTCCTGCGTGGGCTGTGGAAAAATTTATGAAGCAGGTAAAAAAACAACTGCAAACAGAAATGGGCAACTGGACATGGATATTTTCAAACTTTGGGAATCGTAAGGTGAGATTTTTTTTTTTTTTAAGTGAAGTTCATTTTAAAGAGGTCGACGAGTAGTTTGGTGGACGCTTGGTTAAGCTGCTGTGCTCCACATCTCGACCACGGACAAGTTTAGACCAATAAAAGCCTATTTGTTCTTAGTGGTGTCCTTTTAGATCGAATAGTGTCCTTAGAGTACTGCAATATTAGAAGGGTAACCACTCAACAACAAGGGCGCCAAGGCTAACATTGCAGATCAAGATGTCATCTAATGAGAGTAGCAACAATCACATCGTGTGAAAACGGTGTAAAGGTAAAAAAGGTCAATTATGTACTCGAACCTAGTGCCCACCCAGCCGGAGCTTATCTTTGTTTTCATGTAGCATGAAGCGACTAAGAGTATTACTACTCCCCCTTGGATGACAGGCTAGTCTATAGCAAGGCTACCCCCCAGCATTTCATCCGGCCTCTCTGACGATTCGCCGGTACCCATTTATACTCCTGGGTGAAGAGAGGCATTGTGAGAGTAGAGTGCTCAACACAACACATTGACCCGGCCAGGTCTTGAACCCAGACCTCTCGACCCGGAGTCCAGTGCACTAACTATTATGTTTGATGTTTGAAATAGTAAGTTAAATCGATAATCTTGGTTGTATCAGGAGGAACTCGTATGGTTTGTGACAAAACCACTCAAGATTATCCTAAAGCTAACGTGGGTTTCTTCCTATATTCACCGCAATCGAATCTTTTTTATACTGATATTCTTATTTACACTCACCGGCTTTTGACAGATCAATACATTTTGACGATTGGCCAGTTCGAACAAGTGGCAACCTGAAATTAATGCAACTGAGTATGTGACAGTCCTCAGCGGTCAATCGTTTTTCATTTCGTTACAAAGTATGGAGTTACTAATAGCTTGAAAATGACATAGGAGTACTGTGTGAGGCGAATACGTCAATTTTTCCCTAAGCCGCTTAAGTATGCCAAAGAAAGACAACGCCACAACCACGGGAATAGTGGCTGGGTTCTTTCGCTAACGAGATTACGAGAAGTTCAGGAGACGGTGCCTATGGTGTACGATCCATCTGAGCGCTTACAGCTGGTATCACAAACATAGCTTTTTGTCCTTAGATTTTTTAAGGTTCTACCCTCCATACAAATTCCCGTTCTCTTTTTTGTGCCCCAGAGCTCTCTAAATTGAACAAGACAGCTGGTGATGATTTGAGCTAATAAGACCCGATTGAGTGAGAATTCAATTCTTTAACAGAATGTTAAAATCGAACGGGAATTTTGTTCATTTCCTCCATTCTTATACACCAACAATAACTTCATAAGTTTTCTTAAAACAGGAAGACCTCCTCGGCAGTGACTCTGGTGATATACCAGATACCATGCAAGGACTGCTCGGCATCAGACCGACCGTGGGTAAAGGTGCCCGCTTTGAAAAGTTCAAAAATGCATGGCAGCAGTTGATCCCGGGAAAAGAAATATCGGTAAATTCTTAACTTCCTTTAATACTCTAAAAACTTGCCACCTTTCAAACGGCAGTGAATAAGTTCTGGTTTAGCTTTCGTTTTTTCTTTTCTTTTTTTTTCTTTATTCAGAAAATTCTGAAATCAAATGAATATCTCACTGCTGAGCTGGCTTGTTTCAGCTTGCTTGTGCCCAAAAATGTATGCGCTTTTAATTTAGTATTACTATGGTGGTCATTTTTTTGTCTTTTTCAGGTATCTGTTGGTCGAGTTTATGACTCTGTGTTAGTGGCCGCAGAGGGAATCAAGATAGCCCTCCGAAATGGAGTAGCTTTACCGAGCAATCAAACTTACCGGGGATTTTGCAGCAGCTCGGACAAGCAGGAAGAAAACACCAGTGGAGAAGAACTAGCCAAATATTTGAACGAGGTAAAAGTGCCAACAACTTGTTTGTTAAATAGAACACCTTCTTACTTAATTTGCAAAAATCTGAATTAACCAAACTGTGGATCTAGATGTCCTGGAATAGGAAATGTGAAGGTTTACTTTTTCTAGCGACCTTTGAAGAGGGAATAAAGGTATTTCTTGGAGACGATTTAAATCATTTGCCACTATGGTCCCTTATCTAATATGTGCACATGACTTAAAGATGTGGTAATTAGCAAATCTGCAACTGAAATTAATTTCTCTTATCTACGATAAGATGTTTTTTACACTGATACTCTGTGGCTCAGTGGTATAGCATCGGAGCGCGGAATGCGAAGGTCTGAGGTTCTATTCCTCATAGAGACTCAGAATTTTTTCTTTGTCCCACGCTCGCGAGAGGGCGAAAATCATTTTTTAAATTTTTTACCTATTGGTAATCTCGGGTAAGATCTAAGAATTCAATGCAAATTTTCACTGTGCTATTCATAGGTAGAGGTTGAAGGTGTCATGGGTAAAATCCATGCCAATGATCCAGATTACGCTGGTTCTGCTTACTTTGATGTGCTAAATCTAAGAAGCACCGGTGAATATAAAGTAAGTCCCGAGATAAACATTCGCAGTATGTCGGTCTTTTTAGAAGGGCTTCTCCTTTATCTGCCTGAGCTTCTGAAGCTCGAGGCAGCAATACTAATACAACTAAGGAATCCTATTTGTTTCGTTTTATTTTTTAATGTTTTTTGTAAACTTTTTCTTAATTGTGCTTTTATTCCTTATACTTGTTCAGTTTTACCGAAAAGTGATTAACACTGCTCCGAACTCACCTGCTATAGCAGCGTAAAAGTTAAATTAATTCAGGATGAGCACATAATTATTGGCGAGAACTTGATAGAGGAAGATAAGTCACTACAGGACTTTAAAAAGGCTGACGCCGTGAGCCTCAGCAATTGGGTTTCGATGAACCCGAGTCTGGTTTGTCTCGGATGAGTAATTTCTTGATTTTGATTAGTATGTGATTTGTCGTGCCGCTCCGATATTTTACCTTTTTGCTATTCAAATTCGTGGACAAGATATGTTGAAAAAAACAACTACAACAAAATAACTATTCTGCAGTTGGCCTGTTAGCTCAGTAGAGTACTACACCAAAATCACACCACAGGCCTGATCATGATTTTAATTTCAGGCTTTATTTTCACTTCTGTTTAAGTGGTGATCACTATTGGGAAGATCGTTCTCATCTTCATCTTCAAACTTCATTTTTTTGACAGGTCGGGGAGTGGAATACGACTGGGTTACATATGTTTGAAAACGAAAAACCAATCTGGCCTTCAAACAGCTCAGACATACCATTGGACATTCCAAATATCTTGAAGGGAAAGACTCTAAGGATCGCTACCATTTTGGTAAGTAGTTTATCAAAAAGTGCTAGAGCTGGGTGCAAAATTGTCCAGATCAGCATTAATTTAACTCAGCATTTCTTATTTGGTGTAAGGGAGTTTTGAAGCATTTTTTATATATTGTTTCCATTTGTGGTACTCTACATCAAGATTATGCCCAACCATGTTAGCCTTAAGATGTTCCCATACCAAAGAAATCGATTCTTAGTTTAACGTTCAATCCGGTATGTATGAGTAATAAAGTGATTTCGAGTGCAATTTGGTGTTAATAAGCAGGAGTAAATTTTTCGAAGACGACAAAATTGCACGAGAAATCATATTGTTTATTTTTTAGACTTTCCGTGAAAAAAGCATCATAGAAAGTCAAGACACGAAATTTTGACAGCGCTATGTGTAATTTGCACTCGTATCACATGAATGACCAACAAAGCTAATCAAAAGATTTCCAATAGGCTCCACCGTTTGTGATGTTGAAAAATGGTGCCGAATCGTCCTCGAACGAAACCAAGGACTTTGAAGGTCTGAGTATTGATATTTTGGAGGAGATAAGCAAAAGACTGGAGTTCAACTATGAGATATATCAAGCTCCTGATGGAAAATTTGGAGTGAAAAACAGACTCACTAGAGAGTGGAATGGTATCGTCAAGGAAATCAGGGACAAGGTTCTATCTTTTCTTCATTATTATCAATAAAAATAATGTAGCTCCCAATGGGTTTCGCTTTTTCAGCATTTTACACAAGTCTATGAAGTTTTGCTGTTCTGGGGCCGGTGTCAGGACTAGTGCAAATGCCGTATTCACAGCGGCATCAACGATATTATAAAATTAATTTTATCAACAGCATGTTCAACGATTTCTCCTTTACTTATTGAGTGTTTATAATTGTACGTGATTAACCATTTGAGCAAACTTTATTTGGAAGGGATCCACATGTTTTTGTTATTGCCTACTAGTACAATGCATAATCCGTTCTTGTTTATATGTAAGTATTTCAAGCAAGTGACGTTTCAGCACGGCAACAAAAGCTTTGTTCCTAGTTCCAATAGGTTCCCTGGTGTAATATGTACTAATTGTTGCTGTGAAGGTTATTTACCTCTTTCACGAGCCATGCTTCCGAATAGACTAACTAAACAGGTCTTGCACAAAGGTGTTAAGGTTCAAACTTATCAAATATTACCGGAAAAGACGGAGGAGCACATGAAATTTTAATCAATGACTATCCCTTAACTCCTTTTATCAGCCATCTTCACTAAGTTGAATGCAAATTACGCGCGAATTCAGTACAAATATTACGGGAATATTGAACGGTTATTTGGACATTTGGTCATTTTGTACTGTGAAAAAACCTGTTTGACAGGTTGGCCGGATTACGCAGGTCATGTCAAGGGAGAAAAAAATGTACGACATTTTAAAGTACCGATGACACGAAATTTTGTTGCATTTTCTGGTTGATTGCCTTATTTTAAAATTAGAAATAATCGACCTTAGCGCCTAGCGAGTTATACTTGACCATTTTTTTGTGCAATGAAAGTACGATTTGGCGGCCAAAAAGTGTCCCCATTAAGCGCGCCGCCAAAACGGTTATGTTACATAGCTGTGACGTAGAAAACTGTGAAGACACGTCGGCAACTATGGTGGAGGAACGAAAAATCTAGAAGAAAGGACGAACATGTTACGTGGCCGGAACGTCAAATGATGTTAGCTACAAGAATAATACACATAAACCGGGTATTTCTATATACTACTTTCCAAAGGATGTAGCTGTATCTCCTCGATCGTCGACATCGAGGAGATTTTACTCTTCAATGTCGTCGGCCATATGCTTAGTGTTGGCTTTGAAGACGCCTGTTACGAACACATATCACTAGTTAAACCAGAAGAAGATAACCAATGAATTCAGCTGAAAAGAATGCTGATTAAGGGGTCTGTTCCCACACCGTACACGATTGTTCAACATTCTTTTCGGCTGACATTTCGCAAGCGAAGAATGGTGAGCTCCTTATTGTTGTTTATTTCACGCGCCTGAGATGTACTCGTACTTCTTGTCTTTCCACATGACAACATTTGCGCTTTTCTTATCGAATGAAAATCCTACCAATTGTAGTTTCCATCGTATTATAATAACAGAAATGCATCAATTGTAATGAAGTTCAAGCCCTTTCCTGAGGTGACTGATATCCTGTTGCGTGAACAGCGCAGAACCTCTGGCAGATACTGGCATAAACACAAGCTCGAAGGAGCCGTGTATTCTCCTAACTTAGGTTTCCGAAAATCCATCCCACGAGCCATCAATTTCCCCCTGCCCTCAAGAAACTAAAAGTAGCCACAGTGGCAATGTCATTGTGATAACAGCACTACAACGAGAAAAATAAAGAAACACAAATTTTATTGAATTAGATGATAGCGAATCCAAGTGCTGTGTGAAAGTCGATGCGAACGAAATATTCACTTATAATACTTATGTCAGTTAATTGCCATTGAGTGAAATGGGTCTCATGGCAATGCTACACTTAAACTTAAGAAGTTTTTCTCTATTAAAATCCCTATTTGACATTAACTTGAATCAGATGACTATAAACTCACTCGTTTTCCTTTCGGTTTGACCGGCTCGATGATCGCGACGATCGCCTCTGCCTTTGCAATCTCTAAATAAAGGAGCAAGTGAAACTGCCCGATGACTTCTCGGTGAAAAATATCGTGCCTCGTGATACAGCCGATTCTTTCGTCAAAAATTAGCTTTTGGTTCACTAAGGGAATTTCTGTACAGCAACGAAACTCTGCACTGACTGAGGGGAACCTTCGCCGCACATAGTGCGAAGGAATAAAAATGTTATGGCTACAGAAACGAACACAGCTACCCATTCTTAACATAGATTTCGCCATAGAAAACAAAACACAAACGCAACAAAATAAACAAACTAAACATTCAGTAATGTTCTAATCTTGACCTAAACACCGCAGGCGAGAAACCGTCTTTGTCAGTCTTCGTCGAAATCTTCGTTTGATGCACTCGGTTCTTCTTCGTAGGGATGCACTCGGTTCTCCTTCGTAGGGATGCACTCGGTTCTCCTTCGTAGGGGTGAAACATACTCGCAACTTCCATTTCTTCTCACTTCTTGAATTATATCACAACTCTCGGTAGAGCTTGCCGAAGGTAGGTAGACATCGTTATTGGACATTATTTCAAGAGTATTTCAACGCCGACTGATACAAAATTACAAGAGATGTGGGAAATTTGTTGGTGTCAACTGAGAGTTTTCACAGTTTTCTACGTCATCACCCGCTAATTCGTTACCAGTCCACAATACACTTTTAAGACAAAATAAGAGCACTTTAAGGCCCGAAAAAACCGAGTTGTAAGTTTTTTAAAATTTTTCTTCTTTCGGAATTGGTTTGTACAAATGATAAGCTAAATATTTACGCAAAAAAAGATTTCGTGTCGTAGGCACTTAAAGGTAGTTGGATAATGAATGACTCTTTAGACGTTTTGGTGTATAGTATCGCCGAGTATTTCTATTCTTTTAGAATAGTACCGTACTTTGACTTGCCTTGCGGGGTCGTCAAAGTAAGGGGTACAACCCGTGAAAATACTCAGCGATGCTACACACCAAAATTTCTCATGAGTTATGTTTATTTAACAGAAAGCCGATATGAGTATTGCCCCAATGACCATCAGCTCTGATCGTCAAACAGTGTTAGATTTCACTCAACCTTACATGACTTTTGGACTGGCCTTCATGATACGTGTCCAGGAGGTTAACGGGAACTACTTCAGATTCCTGTTACCGTTCAGTAAATATTTGTGGGTGGCCATATGTGTGTTGGTGATGGTGATGGGGTTTTCCGTGTGGTTCTGTAACCTCTTCAGTCCACTTGGGTATTACGGAAGATGTACACAAGCTCAGTCTACAAAACAGGTAAACGAGATCCCACTACTTATTATAGGAGAGTCTTGTTCGTTGTTCGTATTGTTTTGAACTATTTAGTTAGTTTATAATTAGTTAGTCAGCTCAGCATGATTTGATTTTTCGTATATATTTAGATTGTAGTCACTGCATTAATTCAAATTCCGAAATTATTTAGGTTTAAGCTGTCATGACGAGTTATCGAATTGTGACCGTCTTTTCTAACTGCCAAGTGGATATGCGTAGTTTTGTCTAATGACCTTGCTTTGGACCCACACGAAAGTTATTTTTTTGGCTAACGCAGTCAGAGGTTGGTTCAGTTGATCGAAGGCATTATGATTTATGATAATGTCATAGGACATCGATTAATACAGTCTCACACGGTTTTAAGCTCGTTAACTTACTGGGCTCGGGTACGATCCATTAACATCAAACAAGAACTAAAAAACAACGAAAAACACCAAAGATACGCTCATACACTACAAACTAGCTATAAACGTTAACTTGTATGAGGGTGATAATCAATGGAAAGATTTCTTACACACGTTGCTTTGCCTCGTAAAGGTAAACAACGGACTTCCTTTTCGGTAACGAAAATGACGACATAAATGCTCTCAAATGACCTTCAACGTTTAAATGGCAAACTCTTCTCGCGTTATTGGTTGTTGACCTGTATCGTTCTTAATTCCAGCTAAAACCAGAAGTCCTTAAACAAGTTGACACTCTCAGCTTAAACAACTCTATATGGTCGTCGTGGAAGGCATACGTCCGTCGTAGCGCTGAACATCCAAGGTCATGGTCTGGAAAGTTAACAGTGTCTGTCTTCTGGTTCGCTGTGATGATCATCAATGCTACCTACACAGCCAATCTGGCCGCTTATCTCACTGTATCCCGGATGCAAACTCCCATTGAAACCATTCTAGATCTGTCGCGTCAAACCCGCATTGAGTACGGAACACTTAAGGACTCACAGCTACAAACATTTTTCCAAAAAACGGATGTTCCCAGGTCAGTAAACATCAAGAAAGAGTCTGGCTCGTTAAAGAATGCGGATCGGTCGGTTTTGCCGTGATTATCTGCAAGACTGAATAAGCTCATAAGCCGGGAGTGGTTAGCTTTGACCACCAATCCTTCCATCTTGTGGCCCGTTCTTATCAAAACCATATAACCTTTGCCAAAATCTAGGCCTAGAATTGGTATCTTAGACATAAATTTCAGGTTCTCGGATTTTTACACCAATGGTATGTTAACTGTGTGGTACTGGTTTTCAGAGGCTCGAGTTTCGTCACTTTTTAAAAGAAGACTTATGTGGTTTTTGTGTTATGGTTTTAGTTATCTGGTGATGGGACAGTTTATGGAGCAGCGCAAATTATGGATGCCTAGTTATGAAGCTGCCATCAACAGAACTTTGGAGGGTGACTTTGCATTTATCTCAGACAGACCAATTTTAAATTATGTGGCACGACAAGACAAACATTGTGGAAAATTTAAGGTTACTGGCGGGTAAGACACTACAAATTCTATGACTTGGACAAAACTGCTCAGACGAACCTTTATTGATTTATTAGAGGAGTTCTCTCCCTTTTTCTTGTGTTTCTATGAATCTTCTTGTCTATGCAAAAGCAACTCGTTTAGACCCTGCAAGTGTCATTGTGCTTTCAGTCTAAACAACCGTGTTGAATACAACAATTTTTTAACCTTTTTTTTTTACTTTTTAGCGAAAGAAAAGTTCAAAGCCTTGCTATAGAGTTTTTTACCTGTATCGCACTAAATCACCTCTCTTCTGTATTGTGTTACATCAACTAAACAGCATTTTTTTTTGTTAATAATGAAAAGTTCTTCCTGATATCCTAAAAAATCGCCTCTATTGAGAAAAGTTCGCAAACTATGCAATTAACGCTCTTATAAGCAAGCGCTCTTATAGCAGCGACTCTAAGCTTCTATTTGAGGAAGTTGTTCGTCTTACAGGGATGCTTGTCAAAGGACACTTGTTTGATTTTCAACACCCGCAGATTTGTTACATAAGTTCGTTCTCGGGGACGAGTTGTATGACAGGTACTCAATTGAAAAATATACAGTCCAAGTTGAGACATGTGGCATAACTCCATTTCAGGTTTGGTAATACATATGGTTATGGTTTTGCTTTTGAGTTGACCTCGCCATACACACCACTCTTTAATATGGAACTATTTCGACTTCAAAATGAATTCGTCATAAGCAGTCTGACTCATAAGTGGACAAAGGAGAGGGTGAATTGCGAACTGGTGGATAACTTTGAAGAGCAGCAACAACTTGGTAAGATATGTTTCCAGTGACGAGAGCAATATAGGCTATTCACCAGCTTCTTTGACTTTTAAAAGATGAATACACTCTAGTGACGATTTAAAAAAGATTCTACAATTTTTAGGTGGCGTGCCCCGTATCGTTATTCAATAGCTTGTTTTCTAAAAACTCACATATTAAGCTAGGATCGTATGCACAAAATGAGATCAAAGTGAGCGTTAAAATCTCTTTCGTAGTGACATGCCATAAACCTGTTTTATCTTTGTCTGATCTCAGGAAGCACTGTCCAGAAGATGTCCGTCCAAAACATGCTGGGTGTGTTTATCCTGTTGGCCATCAGTGTTTTGGTTGGCTTCCTTATCATGATCATGGAGTGGATTTACGCCTCGGCCAAAGATGCCAGAAAGCGCATTCAGGTGAGTTTAAAACGGCGTGTCAGGCAATTTTTAGGCCACGCCCTCGTGAGAGGGTTGTAAAACAAAATGTTCGAATAAAACATTGTGTGTACATGGGTGAAATCATGTAATGTTTACGTACTTCTGATACAAAGGAGGCAAATTCTCGTTTCTGTCTGAATCAGTGAAAACTGCCTTCATGTGTGAAGCTCAGTAAGAAGACGCCCAACGCGTCGTAAGACATAAAAAGGATATACCATGGCCGCGCGTGGATACAAATTTTATCTTCGAGTGTTGATGATTTAGTATCTAGAATCGGACATGTAATTTTCTGTCTATTATGTGGATGTTGATCGCATATTTGAATAGGAGACAATATTAAAACACCTTTTAAGAGCTTCGAATGTAGAAAACACGTACACGTTATCTCAGCCCGCAGAAAATGGGAGTACCTCAGCTTCCGCCGTAAAGTTGCAATAAATGTTTTTCACTTAAAAAAAAAATAAGCGTAATTCAACCTTAGCATCATTCGTAAATGTAATAATACCCTTACTGAAAAGTAAAACCACCAAACTGAAAGACCCGGTCACCATGACATCATTGATATTTTCAGATGAAGAGATATGAATGGTACATTCACAGAGGGCAGTGAAGATGTTATGTTTTTGATGAAAAACCGGAGAAATTCCGGTATTTCTCAATATTTCATCAATATAAGTTGACGTCATTTAATACAATCTTAATAGACGATATTTCTAACTCATGCTTAGGCATAAGGTCTTGTTTTGAAGGTAAAGTGATGACGTTACAGTCCTTATTGACTTTTTTTACCTCGTTTCCGTTGTTACTTAGTGGTTACAACATACATACTCTTTACAGGGACGCAAGACATGCTGCCAAGCATGCGGGACGAGACTGCTTCAAGCACTAAGGGACATGTGCTGCTCTAAACAGAAAACCACTCTTGATAATAAAAAGACAGATGACTGAAGATGGACGTCAGGTTGAGTTTTAGCGGGATCAGCATTTTGCATTCTAGCCAATTATATCCCTTTCTCTAGATCGCCTTACGAAGACGCCGTTTTCAGCTTTAAACGTAGAATTGTTAGTGTCAAATTTTTTCCAATGGTCACCTCCTAACACGTTTGAAAAATGTTGCACCAGGCTCAGGTACTTCCCGTTTCAAATTGGTAGTTGAAAATTGATTCAACATAGGAATAACGTGACTTGTCAAGGCGCAGAGATGCACGCTTTGTTGTTCTGCTCCTAAGAATAAAACTTCTTTTCTTTGTCTTGTAGTATATAATTAATGATGGGGTAATAGGTTCAATATAATGTTTGGTAAGAGGATTTCCGTTGCTCCTTCTAAAACTATGATTGAGAGACTGTAAATTAGGATTTGATTCATGCTTAGTCTAAACGCTTCATTAAAATTGACCAAACGCGAGTTCAAGATGGCTGCATTGGCCGATCTAGAGCGGGCAAGATTAATTCGGGTAGTCCAATCAAAACACAGGATTCACATCATCTTGATCACAGGCGCTGCCAGCAATATGATAAGAGAATTACTCTTATTTTCCGTTTTCGTGTTTTTATGGAACTCAACCGCTTCTCGGTCCAAAAAAGAAAACGCAAAAACAAATTCGACCAATATTCAGCCATCTTGACCTCACAATCGGTCAATAACGCTTATGAATGATATCTTACCAATCATAACCATTACAATTTCCTTAAATGTGATTGGTGCATTAGCTGCTTCATTTTTCACTGATCAGTCTGTACAGTTGTAACTGCGCAGTGTAACCTGACAGTTGGCTGTAATCGGACAGTTTAAGAAGCCAATCATACTAAGTCCACTCAGCTAAATCCACCAATCACAAAATTGATCCCAACAACCATAGCAACAACCACTTATCTTAAAAAAAGAAACTTGGGGAATTTACAAAATGGAGGAATTTTTACTTAAGACATTGTCTCTACCGGAGATGTTTGTCCTAAATGTATTTGTTTTTTTCGGAAATTGTAACGGTTGTGATTTATTAGTATCAGAATTTCGTGTCGTCCAATTCTGTATGTAATCATACTCGTGATTGACAGGGCGGACTCTCGCTTCGCTTAAGTCCGATTTATTTAATCACTCGTATGATTACAGACAGGATTGGACTCCATTCGGTCTTACTACCACTACTTATAGACGTATTGTTATAAAAACAAATGTTGAATGTTTCAAGATCAGTTGGCCAGCATGCTCACGCATGCCTACCTGTAGTTTCTACATGAGCTGTGGTTTAGAGTTTATCTAGTAGTCAGAGAGAGATTGATCGAACAGTGTTAGTCAGTCGATCTGAGCTACCCAGAATGAAGTGAATTTGATGTAAGTAGGATTGTGGTAAAGAACCGATAGATTAAAGAAAATGGAAAACAGTTTGAGAGTCCTTAGTGCCTTTTGCTGAGCGCGGTTCGATCTACAGCTAGTTTCCATTCCATTGCGACCCAACATAAGTTTTACATCCTAATTTAGTACTGTCACACGGAGGTATAAAAAGACCAGTTACCATTCACGTAGAGTTCACTTGAATGATAAGTATTTCCGCCTTATTGTCTGTTTTATCTTTTCAGTCTTCTTTTTTCTTGTGTGACATGGTCATTATGTAAGATGGGCTTAATGAAAGGGTGGCTTTGACGTTTGACGGAAAATTTTCTCCGATTTTGCCTTTGCTGGTGGACGTTTACTAGGAGGATATATTTCTATGAGTCAAAATTTATATCAAGTTTTTTTATTTTTTTTTAATATGAATAACGAATCTTTCGTTAGGATCTTGTGTACTTTTGCGATTCTCTTCCATTGGATTGTTTCGTCAGTATTTTGCAAACCTTTAGGATTCCTTTTTGCCTGATTGTTACGTTAGTTCCTCACGCACTTTTTGATTCTCTTTTATTGGATTGTTACGTAAATATCTTGTGCACCTTCAGAATTTTCTTTCATTGGGTTGTTACGTCAGCATTTCGAGCACTTTTGTGATTCTTTTACAGTGGATTGTCACGTTAGTATCTCGCGAACCTTTAAGATTCGCTTTCGTTGGATTGTTGCGTTAGTATCTTGTGCATCTCTCGGATTCTCTTTCAATGGACTGTTACGATTGTCGTGACAATCTTGTTAGCGTATCGCGTGACACTTTATTTTCTAATTTAGTAATTAAGCTAAGGGTTTGATGACAGTTGGGTTACTTAAGATTTAGGTGTATGATTGAACGTAGCACGGTAATGGCAGACTTGAAGTAAGAATGTTCGTGATATAGAAATCAACAATGGTCTAAAATAATTAGATAAGGAACTGCCCAGGGAAATTGTGCGTGGGCGTTTGGGTTGGAACATCTTGTGACGTTGCGTGATGTGTCATTCGTTCCGCAAATAGAACATGCGTGCGGGTGTAAATTACAGAATTGTTGATCGGGGTATAATAGGAAACAGCTGTTAAAATCGAGTTGACAAGAAATAGCTTGGCATTTTCGTAAATCACGAATAAGTAATGTCAATCTTGGATTTCCGTAGTTTAGGCGTGTATTTCCGTTGTAATAGCAAATAAATAGAACCAATTTCTTGTAAAAAAAAAATCGAGATCGATTGAATGTAGAAAGTTCAGATATTGTATGGATTGTAAATAAACGCAAGAAATCGGAAAGATACAGTCCTATTGATTGTCGAACCAGCGCTCCGCAGAGATTTTCCTTAACGCGGTGGAGAATTCTGCAACAACGATAGTATCTCGCACATTTTTAGGATTCTCTTTCAATGGACTGTTACGATAGTATGTTGAGCACCTTTACAATTCTCTTTCATCGGATTGTTAGGTTCAATAGGATCTCCTCCTCAAGGATTCGCCACCTTTCGATTTTAACGTTAATATCTCGCGCGCTCCGTTAGCATTCTCTTTCACTGCATTGTTAGTATCTCCTGAACCTTTACGATTCTCTTTCATTTAATTTTTACGTCAGTATCTCGCGCACCTTTAGGATTCGCTTTCAGGAAATAGTTATGTTGGTATCTTGCGGACTTTTAGGATTCTTTTTTATTGGATTGTTTATTTCATCGGATAGTTAAATAAGGTTATATCCCAGTCAAACCTCTCATATCAAGGGACAGAATCCACGGAAACAGTTTTGCATGCTTCCGCCCTTTGAGGAGCCCATCCTTCTGAGTTTCATTTTCCGAAGCCCTTCAACTTTCTTCCATGGCTCGTAAGATTAATGAATATTTTAACTTTTCACCCATGTCGAAGAATATCTAGAAATTTAAGGATTTAATTTTTCCATATTTTCTACGTAAAAATGCAGGAAATTCTTATGATAGTCAATTTTTAGAGTGATTACCGAAGCACCAATTGTTTAAGTTGGGAAATTGAGTCAGAAAAGTTAGAAGTTGTTGTTGATGCGCGTGCCCTTGTCGATCATCATCCGGGAAAGGGTTTCAACAAACTTGTTAGGCGATCGCATGCATCAACCAGCAATGAACAAGATCGTACCACGCTGGAATTATACGCTGGGTTGATTTGCTAGTCAAATTTATCTCCTCCGCTTTCAGTGCAGCGTAAGGATAGGAACATATAACATCTGGTTTTAGATCATGTGTTTATCTTTTAATATTTTTTCAGTGCATAAGATCCTTTTTCTTTATTAATTGCGCAAATGACTACCAGATTACTTTGAGCAACAACTTCATCCTAGAAATCCTCGCCCACGGGTCGCGTGTATTGCGTAATTGTCACGAGATGTAACTAACACAATCATCGGGTTCCTGTGTCTCATAACATTTAACTGATGTCATTGTTCTATCGTGCCCCTATTTGTCTCTATTGCCTCTTGCGCGATTTTCTTTATCTCCATGAATGAACAAATGCAGCTTAATCACTGATGCTAATTAACCTAATACTAACCTTTTTTGGTCGATTAAAAATTTTATCATCTGCTGACGATTGCACCCAGTAGTGTCTTAGAAAACTTAAAGTACTGAGACGCGTATCCTGCGTGACTAACCTCGCGTGACTTGAATCATCAAAACATGGAAACTGGGCTATATTCGTGCAGCTGATTTAGTTAATTTTTCTTTCAAAATATACATTTAAACCTACATAATGCATGCACGGTGAGAAAATGTCACGTTTCCTTTTTACGACACAGAATTGACTTCGTAATTTTATCCGTATTTGTATCATTTTTTTTTTTAATCATTTATGTTTCCGGCCAGGTCTTATGATCAACCCATGGTTTGAACTTTGTTTCCCTCGTGGCAGTTAAGGGGAATCCTGGTCGAGCTGAAGCAGCCAAGCGAGATCTTTGTGCCCCAGTTAAACAGGTTGTGGTCCTCGTTATTTAAGAGAATCTTGTTTATCGACAATGTATAGTTGATGTTTTATTCTTCCGATTACACTGATGGCTTTTGCAGCATTACTTCCATGGTTGTCTGTCTTGTGCAGTTTTTATTCCAACGGTATGTCAATATATGCATAATGCTATTTGTTGCTGAAAGGCATATGATTTGCCCAGATGGTTCCTCATTTCGAGGATCTCTTCGGATCAGAGACTCGCCCCAAATAGATTCGTGGAAAACAATTATGATATCGCTTTTTTTTTCGTGCTCTGTTAACTTTAAAAATGTCAGCAAAAACTCGTTCGAGTTCGTCCACAAGATGTTGTACTGAGTTTGTAGCGCTGGGGTTGTGTGTTTCAGCAAACGTAAGAAGTTTTCCGATTATATAACCTCCATCTTAGCATAGACGGTGATAAATAGGATAAAAGTCAACAGATGTATTTGTTTTTGGAAGATTATTTCTTATAAAATGACCTTATTTTCCTGCTCTTTGGATTCATATCGTTACAAAAATTACAAAACAATATACAGAGAGAGAAAAATTCAGAATGGTTAAAACTAGACTGGCTTGTTTTGATTGGACCTTTTCAGAGTTGTTTTGAAAAATTTTCAATGGTTTGATCTTTACTTGACCGGATTAATCTTGCTTTCGGCGATTCCGGTCTAACTCGAACAATCGGGAAGGAAATTTGTAGGAAGTTGTGTTAAACAGATCCACAACTACAAGAAGAAAGAGGAAAATATCAAATCATTAATCTCTGTTCGTCGCTGTAAATCATTAGAGCATGAAAACTGTCAAAGTTTACTTTGAGTGACTTTTGAGGGATCGTGACTTGAATGTGTGTCGCATTGAATGTGTCGCGCATTGAATGTGTCACGCACACCTGAGACCTGACTACAGTTGTTACAGCGAAGAGGAAACACTTGACGAGACTGAACAGATCACTCACTTTTTCGTCAATAACGTTTCGATTAGCTTTTAAAAGTTGTTTCACAGAGAGATTTTGCAAAGTAAAATTCCAGCTGTCTACAAAATATTGTAGTCCGACGATTAAAACTGATTTTTCGCCAAAATATAACCAACAGTAGAACGTTTAAATTAAAAGCTTATTTTAATATCATATGCATGAATTTTTAACCTTCAAATGGTGAAGGAATTATAAAAAAATTTGACGGTCAAGCCTGACCCGCAGAAATTTGATTGGTTGCTTTAAACAAACCTTGAAATCTTATCGATCTTGATGATCTAGTGTTGCATTTTCATTGACTAGGAAAAAGATGCGATATAGAGAAAAAATAGCACGATTTGCGGAGAGATAGCACTGCTGAGAGGCCACCAGATTGCAGGGATCATCAGTGAAAGATGACAAACAGGCTACCCATAATCAAATTAACTTCATATTCGAGGAGTCTTGAGTTTTCATTTTCTCAACTTGTTCCCGAATATTCCAATTGTTTTGGAAATCGGCCGTTTCAAATGTTTCACATAAGAATTCTGCACGGAAAATTAGAGCACGGCTAAACAAAATCGATCCGTTTGCGCATGCCCTGCGTTTGACCGCTGTGTTGTAATTATCGCTCTCTTTCATTTCTAAATCTCTCTAATCATTACTTTTTAGGTGCCCAGGCTAGACAATGGTTTGTTTCAAAGCTTGATGGGACCAAATCCAGTAGCTGCGGGTTTTTCGCATCCTCCCCGTGTAAAACCATACGGCAAGCTACTTCGCGTGTGATGAATGGTGACATCATCAACATAGATGGTGTAGGATCGTCACGTGACCCTTATGTGTGCGAGAGCGGAACAAAATCCCCTCTACCTAGCCTAACTATGCGAAGCTATAATACGACAGCATTCATCTCTTGCAAGAGAGGCGGCTTTCGATTTATGTGCAACCCAAGAGCGGACGCTTCTCGAGAAGTTTCTTTGAAAGATATTACCTTCACTAACACTTCGCTACATGTTGTCAGCTGTTCTGTTAAGGTCTCCGATTGCTCCTTTATAAACAGTTCTGTTCTCGCGCTATCCACGAGTTTCACTGGAGATTCAATAATAACTGTTCAAATCAATGGATGTAATTTTCGAGGAAACAACATAACTAGTTTGGCGATTGACGGAGGTTCCATGAATTTGTACATTTTCAATACCACGTTTGCTTTCAACAAATTACACGGTGTAGAGGGCGCCTTACTTGCTCTGTTCACTAAAAAATTACAAGAGTCAAATAGTAGGATCACAATTGATTTCACCAACACAACAGTTACACAAAACGTCTGTCCTGGACGAGCATGCTTTGAATTTGTCGCTGGGATGGATGGAGCTGAAATAGCTTTAAAGATGGAGAAAGGAATGCTTGAGAGCAATGTGATTGCAAATGGCGAAGGAAGCGTTGTGGACGTTCATGGCTTTGCAAACGCTAAAGTTGAATTGAAATCGATGCATTTCCAGAGAAATAGAGGTAGAGCCGTTGAAATTTACAGCGGTAATTCACTTGAACTTAAAATCGCAAAATCCGAGTTTTCTTATCACAAAATATACCAATGGGACGGAGGGGCGGTCCTCGTCAGCAATTTTACGAAGAAAGCTTCTGCTTCCGTGGTCAGATCAAAATTTCGTTCGAATTTTGCAAGAAATGGAGGAGCATGCGCTTTCGTCAACATATTTTCTCTGGTACTGGATATAGAGAACAGTCAATTTATGCAAAACGAAGCGTTGATTTCAGGTGGTGCTTTAATTGTGGGTAACCATAACAGAACGCTTGAAAAGTCTGCTATCGATGTCCGTAGTTCAAAATTTATTCGAAACGCAGTTGCCATGGTAAATATTTCCACAAGTATTCCAATTACAAACTCTTCACTACAAACACGTGACAGTGGTGCCCATTCATACTACAGGTATGCAAAAAAGGGCGGAGGGGGGGCCTTATCTATTTACGTGTCACAAGTGATGAGGTTATCATTGGCGGACAGCATTTTTGCGGATAATCATGCACAAGCAATGAATTCTGGAGCTGTTCGAGCTCTGCTCAGTACACTCTACCAAGATATCGAGATCGTAAACTGTGAATTTCTGCGCAATTCGGGAGGTTTAGAGTCTGGTACTTTTCAACTGATCGTCAAGACACCGTTACCCCTGTTTCGTGCAATATTAAAAAACCTGACGTTTGTCAACAACGGTGGTAACAGTATTTATGACATTTATCTTTCTCAAAATCGCCTCTCGATGCAGTCTTGTAAAATGCAAAGAAATTCTGGCGGTGGAATATTCATAGGGACATCTTCAAAGGTTCTATTTATCCATATGGAGAATACCCTGCTAAGTGACAATATCAACTTCGGATGCAACTTTTATAAGGATGATTTCAAAAATCGATCGGTGTACAAATTTAAAAACGTTTCGTTTGTAAACAATACCTGCAACACGAAGGATTCAATTCTTCGGATTTACATGCATAGAAATCAAAGTTTCTTTGGCTTGCAGCGAAGCAGATTCGTCGATAATTTCTGCAAATCTGGAGTGGTGAAAGTTTCAGTGAACTCTGGCTTGAGGTCTAATCATACTAAGGTAATCATCAACAACACTGAATTCCGCAATAATTCTGGGTTTGCCGAGAGCACCTTCACAATACGTGGTATGAACGAGATAATAATCCAAAATAGTGTTTTTAACACCAACTTTGGTGCCACAGATGGTTCTCATGTCCGAGTACAAATGCGGTCGAGTAAATTAACAATCAACAAAGTAACTTTCCATCAGTCTAATACGGAAAGAAAACAACCATTTCATGGTTTTTTTACAGCAACAAGCTTTGGAAGCATTTACATCAATGAGACCTCATTTATTTCGGACCTTTTTAGCGTCGGCAGTGTGCCCCTTATTCTTGTTAAAGGTGCGCGCGAGGTAGTGATGGATGATTCCGTTTCAATCAAAGCTCCATTGAGCACCAAGCTTAAGATGGATAATTTCACACACTTGGAAATGGGAGAGAACATTGGCTCATCGAGGATAACCTCATTCGCATTTAGCACCGAGCCGTGCCCCATGCGATCATACAGCATACATCGTGGCAGCGGCAAGGGCTTTACTCTTGAGGACAACATCACGTGCTATACCTGTCCAAATGGGGGCGACTGTTCATCTTCTCTTGCTGCACGACCCAACTTTTGGGGCTATCCTATCGGGGACAAGGTTTATTTTAAGCTATGCCCGGAAGGTTACTGCTGTCCAACTGTCAGTCAAACGTGCCCTTATCACCATGATAGCTATTTACATTCTGGTTGTCAAGGAAACCGGACTGGGATCCTTTGCGGACAATGTAAAAAGGATTTTAGTGATGGTCTGTTCACGACACAATGTCATCCGGTCAGAGAATGTAATCAGGGCTGGTTGTTCTCCATTCTCATGATAGTGGGAACATTGTTTGCTTTGTATCTCATCACAAAACCTCCATTGTGTGAAAGATTAATGACAAATCTCACTTGGTTTCTTCCGAACCATAAACAAGATGATTACAACACCTTGAACGATGTCAAAAAACCTCAGACCTACTCCAAAGACGCATTCTTGAAAAGCCTATTTTATTTCTATCAAGTTGCTGGAGTCTTAACCGCTTCGTCTTATGGTGTGCCTCATCTGTTAAAAGATAAAATTGTTTTACCAATCACAACCCTATTGAATTTCCAGATTTCTGTCAACAATGGCTGGAAGATCTGTCCTCTAACGGGTATCACACCGCTATCAAAAACTCTCTTCCAGCTCGCTTTTTTGACAGCCATATTCATCTCGATTCCAGTGATGTACCTTCTTCACAGCGGTTTGAACAAACTACGCAGGCGCAGCCCAGCCCTTCCACCAGGTGGTCCTTACCTAGGAGCGGCCCTTGAGATGTTTTTGCTTGGTTACTCAGCGCTGACCGTGACCGCCAAAAATCTGCTGTACTGTGTACCAATACAGCACGTGTCTCGTTGGTATTACGACGCACAATTCACGTGCTATCAGTGGTGGCAAAGTGCTTCTTTAATAATAATCGCCCTGTACTTGTTCCCGTCTATATTTTCATTGTATTTTTCTACGTTTCGACTGTATCAGGGGAAAATCTCAGCGAAGATGTTCCTATTGGCATGCGTATGCCCCTTTCCGTACCTACTCTATATTTTCATCTTGCATGTTAAGAAAGTAACTACACAAAAGTACGGCTGTCAAGAAATGACACCCAAAACCAACACCACTCTTTGTGGAGAGGAAGACACTCATTTTCCCAGTCGGACGGAAAAATCTCTTATTGAAGTCCTCTGTGGTCCATTTTCCAAGCCACAAAACTACCAATCAGCTGGTAGTATTTACTGGGAGAGCATTCTTATCGGCCGTCGATTTGTCATCATCTTAATTAGCTTGTTTCTGGAGCATGCGTTCTTGCGGTCTGTGTGCCTGACAATCATTTGCCTCACGTTCTTGCTGCATCACCTTTACAAGAAACCCTTCGCGCACTTTAGCGCCAACGTCGTTGAGGCCATTTCGCTCGCAACATTAGTGGTTATAGCAATACTGAACGTCGGTGTGGCATCATATTTCTCCGTGGGAAGCGAAGTTGGCGGTGTCAATCAGAAGTATATCACTTATTTTCTCTTGATAGAAGCAATTTTGCTGGGAATTGTGCCTCTCTTATTTGCAGTGTTTGTCTCCTTGTCCCTTGTTTTGCAGCTTGTGAGGGTAGTGATCATTCTAATCCAAACCGTTCTTACGAGATGGCCCTTTGTGAGACCAAGATACAATACGCAGTTGTCACTGGGAAATCAAAGACAACCTTTACTTCCTACTAACACATTATAGTTTTAAGATAATTTAACGAGGCCAAAAATTGGTGAAAATTGCCGACTTTAAATCTTTTATCGACGGTCTGATTTCTGAATTCCTCACTGAAAGCAGAATTATGTCTCATAAACCAAACAATTTTCATCTTTGCAAGCGAAAAGTGTATGTGATGATTAACCGCGTTTTAGAAACCTAAACGTCAAAAACATTATCTTCAAATGTGCTCAAACACTCGCCAGTGAACGAGGCCATTTGAAAAACAACTTAGTAACCTGGCCATGTTTGTAAAAACTACAACGCGTGCATACAAAAAGTTCCGCGTTGGTTGTGCGAAAAACTCAATCCCAGTGTAGCACGGTATTATGAACTTCTGAATTGTTCAGAGAGATCGCCAATGTGGCCATTTGAAAAAACGTTTTCTGAAAGATGCGGTCTTTGGAATCTCAAAATTTGCACAGGGTCAAAAGTTCTAGAATACACTTTAACGGCAGAGAAAATTTTTTAAGTATATACAGCACCGAAACCGAAAAAAAAAAAGTTAACTTGTCAATGTACCAAAAAGTGGTAGAAAATTGTTGACGCGTGATTTTGTCTCTTCGGCTGATTGGATGTGAATAGTACTTGCCTATCATATCCGAACCAGTTAATCAGCGAGCGTGAAAAGCACTATTTACGTGTGGTATGTGCTAAAAACTTATAGTTCCTGGAGAGTATCCTTCCTGTAATACACAATTTCTATTCAGGTAGCAGAGTGACAAGAAGTCTTTTCAGTGAGGTTTCCCTATAAATGATAAGTAAATTACCAAAAAGAAATGCTTTTAATTGTGCTAAACCCTGCACTAAAATGTGGTCGCACGGAGAAACGTTACCAGAGCAAAGAATACCTGAACCTCAACTCGACCATTTCGAAAGAATGCCGAAATATGTTTAAACTTTTTCTGCCTTGTCGTCCACTTATGAAAAAAGACTTGCTCTTGTTTTATCGTTTTCGAGTGGAGTAAATAACAAAACACTCAAACGAAAAAAAAAAAAACCCTGGGAATAAAAAAAGGCACTTGAACAGTTTCGGCAACTTTCGGGACGCCCAGAAGATGTATATACATTTGCTCCGTAATAAATTAGTTGTGTTACTGCATCTGTCGATGAAAATAACATGGTATCTAAAGAAATAGTTAAAAAAAACTATATAAATTTTTGTAAGGGAGAGTTTGTCTGCCGAAATTTTTCATTAACACTTTCCATTAGAGTATTTCAAGTAAGAATTTCCAGTCATTTTTTTCACTCGATAAGCCAAGTTAATCGAATGTAGGAAGCGAATTCAACGATTCAATTTCGATTTAATTGCGCTTAGATCACCCACATGTAAAGAGAGGTTATGTTTAATAAATTTTTAAATGTAAATCAAGAGGATTAGGAGAAGTTGTTTTACGGAGTAAATTGTGGAATATTTGAAACACCTTTCCGTTAACCAAAACAGTGTGGCCAGATTGACTGAACTTTCCATTTTGCCTTGAACTATTGTACGTCACCTGGATTCGTTGAGTTAGCTTTTTAAGTGATTGCAACAAAAACTATTGGTAAAAAAAATTGTCAGCTCCTAAGGTAATTAAAATACACCCAAAATACGTTGCTATGCGTTTCAATGTGTGACGTAATTTCTCTGACCCAAATCAGCTTTATAAGGAATTGGTTGCGAGACGGGATGTGTTTTGTTCCTTGTTTTCATAAGGTTCAGATGTCATCTGTATATTGGTGGGGGTCCCTCTCCGTTTCTCTCTCAGCTTCTTGACAATTAAGACAGTAAGTTTCCCATACCACAAGTTCCTCATAATTTCTGTGAGCTTAGAATTCAGGGAACTTATAACCAGTCATGGCACATCTTACACAAAAACAAATACGATAAATTGCACATCCTGTTGCGTTATCTTCAACTTTACTTAATTGATTTAACTTCACTGGATACAAGGTGTCAAACCATCACAACCATTTACAACTAAAAATTACACTTAAATAAGACTTGTGACAAGCAATAAATATAAGTCAATTAGTTATTTATCCACTGTAGATGAAGCTGTAACAACCTGAGGGCGAGTCTCTTAGACTACTAGACTTTAAAATCAGTTAACTTGTACGACAATCGTATATCTAACCGCATAACGTCACAAAATCACTAGCAGTTTAACAACAGACCTGACTTAATAGTGCAAAGTATTTCCTTTTCTTAGTTAAAGGTGTCATTCTATGAGGGGAATCTTTGTTTACATTTTTTGCTGGTGGGTATAAGCTCTTGGTTTTCACATCAAGCCACAAAAATGTTGGTTCATCTCAAATTCTCTTAGCCACACGATGTTAAGATTAGGAATTTTATAAAGAATGTATAGGTTCATTAGCGATTTTTTCACCCAGAAAGTTGGCCGTTTCCGTTGATGAATATTTCATGCGAGTTTTACTCGTAGAAAGACCCAAATTTCACGTACTTTACACTACGAGGCACTATTTCGGTTTTTGAAATCACTCCTTCATGAACTCGACTTCTTTTCTATAAAAAAGAAATAAACAAACAAAAAACAGTTATGTTAAAAAAGAAAAATGTAAGTTATGACAGCAGCAAAGATTCCCCTATTGAAGAAAACACTTCTGCATCTTTGCAGGCTGCAATTCTGTCGATTGTTATCAAATTCACTGAAGAGTCATGATTCGTCTCACGTTCTGACTCAAAGCCAGGCACCTACACGAGATCTCTGTAGCTCTCTCACCCTTTACGGCGAAAACTTTATCTTCACTGCATACATCGTGATTTTATTTTTTTCTCTGTGCAAAATGAAAGATTCCGTATCAGTGTCAAAATACACGTGACACACGTGTTTCACCTTCCATTTCTAATACTACCTTCACGCGAAAAAGGCACTCACAAGCAATGTGCATAAAGTCTGTCACCTCTCTGACCAACAACGAGGAATTCGTCAGAACAAACAGTGTTATAGACAATGACCCGACAGTGAAGCTATTAGCACACTATTTTATCCACTTTACTTAAGGACCTTCCAGATAATAAATTTCATTGAGAACAATTGAAAAACATAACAAAGACGGCATAAGCTACGCCAATCGCGTTTAAGTGGTGTGTGACAGTGTGACAGTGTGATCTCACTCCACATTCCGCCGCAGATCACCCGTCGTTCGCTTGCGGGTAATGGAATGAGCCCCTTTCCAGGTGGATAACACAGTGATATGACAACCAGTTTCCCATATAATATCAGTATTTAAATAGACATTTAGGGTTGAAACCCATCGTGGATTATTATACTCTTTCATTCATATATATTCTTATTGGACAGCTACTGTAAATCACCGAATTCAATATTCAGCTACAACAGGTCATGATACGACATCAGCAGTGTAAACTGGTCCATTCACAACATGATCAACAACGCATTTCTCGTCACCAATCATGAGGTTCTCTGAACCGACAGCACGGCGATTCCAGGCTCTATAAATCGCCATGGAGAATCCTTATTTTGATCTGGTAAATGGGAAGGTTCAACAAGGCTGGCTTAAGCTTGACCTTTCTAACTTTGTCATTCTCTATTCCTTAATTCTAACTACGTTACATATATTTTGTAGATGTAAACTAGCAATAAATAACAATGAAGATTGACGTCTCAGCTGAGCTGCGGCTCGCTGGACTCATACGCTGGTCAACAGCGTTTGCCTTTTTCTGTACACTTCTTAATTTAGCGTCAATATATAGCTAAGCGCATGGCCTTTCAAACTTCCAAATTGACCCAATGAAAATTAAATACAAGTAAAAGCAAATGTGTAGTCAGGTAGTACTTTTGCCCATATAATGAACAGAGGCTGCGATATTCTCAGTTGGCAAAATTACAATAACCACGAGAAGGGATCAAGGATAAAAATGCACAGCTGTGCACAGCCGGTATAACTTTAGCAAAAACCGACTCACATTATTTGCCCCCAAACTCTACTTTGAATAAAAATAATACATCCACTTTAAAATAAAAACCTCAAATAATGATAAGAAATCATTAAGATCCTAAAACAGTGATTAACGCCATTTCTGTTTGGGAAAAAATCAAATTAAATTACATCTTACGCAGTCTAATAACTAGCACTGTTACTCCGCCATTAGGCGATACTTAAGCGTTTGCGTACAGCTGCCTTATCATCACTAGAGTCATCTCCACTTTCTTAGATATCCCCAGCTATAATAATAGGCCGATGCAAAAAACAGGGTAATTAAATCTCACTCTCCAATTCAGGGTCTCGTGTTTTTCTCCTTCTAAAGAAGAAGGAGCTTTTGACGGGTGGCGGTCCTTGAAGCATAGGGACCTGATTCTTGTGTGAGATCACAATCTGAGAAATATTAAGACAGCAAAAGGAAAATTGTATTAGTTGGCAAGGACACAAAATAAAAACATAAGAAAGAAAACGAAAGCAACCAGAGAAGTCAATTATAACGTGGAAGTATCACCAGGAGCCAACGAGAACTCAGAGTGAAAACCAGTAAACTATCTAAAGAGCGTGAAAACGCGAGTGACAAAGTCGAGATTGGTTTTCGTTTTTAATCTAATTGGTTGAGAAAGTGGCGCAGGTTTCCTGGACCAATCACATCACGAAATACAGCAAAACCAGAGGAATTCCGATTTCGGATTACTTTCGACACTCGATTAGAAAATTGCTCTCTATAAAGAAACAAACTTAAAATTAAGCAAACACAAATTCACAGACACTCCAAGAAAAGAAAAAAATTCGCAACCTTTGCACCCGAGTGCTATTTTCCTCTAATGGAGTTACGATCTTAAACAGCTATCGATGGCCGATAGAAACCTTAAGAAAGCATCATAGCAGCGTTGAATTTTGATTCTAATGTTTTAAAACAACTTGCGGAATACCAGACAGTACTTCGACCAAGAATGTTTCTCTTACCTCGGCTGGTGGTTGCATCCATGGCTCTCCATCAATCTGCATTGGAAACAGCTTTTTGGTCCTGTTGCGGTCGAAATAATAAAGGATGTTTAGACTATAGAATCCTTAAAGTAGCACACAACTCATCAACCGAAGAAAAAAACTCTGTAAGTTTCTTTTAAAAGCGATTGAATAAATTCTGCTGTCTCTCACAGCCCCTGTTTTATCCTCTCATTGGTGGAGAACAGCCAAAGCCACAGCAAACCAAGATTAGAATCTTCGTGAAACTGGATACCCACCTTATTACGACTGAGGAGCATTGAGCCAATCTAAGGCCATGGGCTCTGACGCCGACAATAATCTGACTGACAAACAGAGTGTTTTCAAGTCCGACCACCTCCAACTTCCCGTCTCCTATGTCTAACATAAAATAAACAAAAAACGTGCAAATGCCATCTAAAATTATTCAAAATGCTTATCATGGAGGTGAGAAGCGACGAAAAAATTTACCTTTAAGCAAAAGGAGGATGATCACCAAAGAACAAAGGCAAACTACAACAAAAGACGACTCTGTAAACTAACCTTGTACAGCCCAGTCCAGTTCATTTCCTCCTGCTTTCGCACGTGACCGTCTGGCCTTCTTCTTGTCCGTTTCACCCCAGAGGTTTGCTCCACCGTATACGCTGGGAATATTTACCACAGCAATTCCTTCCAGCTGAGGCAGTGCTAATGGTGTATCATCACACTAAAATAACAGATGGATCATTATCAGACTATTTTGAGGTACAAACCGAAAGAGCAATGGATCTTTTTTTTAATATCAAGTTAATACGGAGTACGAAGTGGATGAAAATAGTTGGGGAAAAGAGGAAAGATTTCCCAAGTTACCAACAGCTAATAGTGCAAAACTATAGTGCCTCGGAGACATGGCTCAATCACTGTTGAGGCCTGCAATCTTTAGTTGCTGATTTTTCTATCATTTCCCGCAACTGCTTCACTGTCAGTGAATTTTAACTGTTCACCATCATCCTGAGAGAATCAAATCGTCACCGAAAGCAAAATTAAATACGATAATTTTGGTATTACAGTCCCCTTAAGCAACATAATTCTTACCTTTAAAGGCAAATATACTTACAATGATTTCAATTTCCTCGTG